CTCGAATTTCATACTCAAATTGATATCTCTTTGCAAAATTAGACTGAACAAATAATATAGTTAAATAATCCCAAATTTCTTTGGCTGTGTTAAATTTAGCCAAATGCATACCAATGGTTTGATCAACTGAGTTGTTAACTCAAGTGATAATTTTAGCATTGTTGACTTCTCAGGTATTCTTTAAGTCAGCATATTTCTCTGCCTTCAAATCTATTGGAGCTTGCAAAGCACCACTAACATGACTCCACATCTCTTTCCCCAACAAGAAATTCTTCATAACATAAGACCAATGTACATAATTTTCACCATTTAATCTAACACTAATAGCTTGAAGAGAATCAGAATATCCACTTGCCATAATGTTAACAAAGGATCAATACTCTCAGTAGAATAATACCCAAAATAAAGCAGAAAACAACAATAACAACAATAAAACTAGATTTTCAGTAAAAATTCAGCAACCCAACATATCAATAAACAACCACTTCTCAAATCCAACCACAGAAGAGCAATCACAAAACAGTCGGTGCACTGTGAACAACCAAAGCCAAACCCAACATAAATCCGTCTGGCCCAACTCAGCAAATGCACAAAATCAACAAACCAGCACAACAAAAGAAGATTCGAGAGTAGAAAACCCAAAAAAAAATAGAAACCGAGAGAGATTAGAAGCAAATTTTTGAAAAAAAAAACTTTACAAATCCATCCAAGATGTTTCAAAACCTTCAATCAATCATAAATAACCCTAAATGGCACCAGCAAAATCAAAACCAATGAAAGCACCAGTAGAAGAGAAGATAACCAAACGGAGAAGAAGCAAACCAAATGAAGAATAAGTAGCAAACCCAACAATGAGAATTCAAATCTGGGAGCAACAGTTGCACCAGCAGACTGCAATGATAAGCACCAAATGAGAGCACCAAGCGAAACAAACCAAACTAATAATAAGCCAAGGCCCAACAATGAGAAAAATCATCCCAACAATAAGGGACACCAGCAGAAGAGAAGAATCAGTCCACCCAACAACTAGAATTCTGCACGATGGTTCAGTGTTCGGAAGAGAAAAATCAGCCCACCCAACAACCAACAATCTACACCAACTGGTTCAGCAATCTCTTAGGCGACGCCATGGTTCAGCTTAGAATGTGGGTTGAGTTTTGTGTTTAACGACTGTTTTGATTCTTGTGTTTAGGATCTTAATGCTCTGATACCATGATAATATTGATCAAAACAAAGGGGAGAGAAAGAGAAAAGAACGAAAATATATTACTGCTATAATAATCTGTCAAAGTCTTATATACTAGGACAAAACATAGTAACATAAATGACTAATCTACTCCTAATGCTAATATACTAGATTACTCTAACAGAAGGGACATTATCAAGGGGATAAGAGCGAGGGCGACTAATATAAAACTGCAAAGGAGGAGAGACTGGTGACTCTGTAGTGACAGTGACAAGTGGCTCTTGTGGTAAGGAAAAATCAAAAGGAGTATCATCAATTGGAGAGGCAGACACGGGACTGGAATAAAAATAAAAAATATACTCAAGAAAGGTAATATCTAGACTGTGATATATATGGCGCCGGATAGGATCATAACATCGATATCCCTTAGACTGATGACAGTAGCTCACAAAGACACAATGAATAGCTTTATTATCAAGCTTATGGTAAGTAGGAGACTGATCTTGAACAAAGCATGTATAACTAAAAAATGTGAGGAGGAATCGAAAAAAATGTCCACTCAGAAAATAAGACCTGCAAGGGAGCCTTATGTTGCGATAGCATAGAAAGGTAGAAGTTAGAATAGAAAAATGACAATAAGATTTGGGGCATGCCCACACCTCTAAGCATATAACGTACCATCTCTATCAAACTCTTATTTTTTCTTTCTACAACTCTATTTTGCTTAAGAGTATATGGGCAGGTGAACTAATGAAGGATATCTTTTTATTTTTTATTTTTTATTTTTTTACTGAAGGATATATTGAGAAGAAAGGTGAGACACAAAAGTATCAGACACATATTTTGACATTATCTGAACGGAGAGCACGATCCATGACATTGAATTATGTCTTAATCATCTGTAGAAACTGAGTAATAACATAGAGTATATCGAATTTTTTATGCAAAAAGTAGACCCAAGTATAGCGTGTATGATCATCTAAAAATGTCACATAGTATCGGGCACCTGATAAAGCAATAATAGGGGAGGGTTCCTAAATATCAGAGTATATTAGATTAAAAGGCTTGGGTGATTGCTGTATGCAAGGAATATAATTGGACCTAACATGTTTAAATAGTGATCATATAACACATTTAAGTTTACCACCAACACAAGCATTACTCAAAGTAGGAAATATCATACATAAATATTTAAAATTTGTATGTCCAAAATGGTCATGCCACAACTGAATAGTTTGTGACGAAAAATCATAATGACAAGTACTAGGTAAAATATTAGTATAGGAACTAGAGGTGAATCGCCTAGATAATATAACCCATCTTTTTCATGTCCCTTGATAATAATCCTCCTGGTACTCAAATCCTGCAAATAACAAGAATCATATAAGAACACAACTGCATAATAAAAATCTATGACTAACTGATATACAGATAATGGATTCATGACTAGTTTTGGCGCATGAAAAATTGAATGTAATGTAAAGCCATCTGGAAGGTAGACTGTACTCTTACTAACAATAGAGACATTTGTCCTATCTGCTAACTGAACCTGTGTGTGTAACTGTTTATTGAAAGTAGTGAAATGATGGGCTTCACCTATCATATGACTATTTGCACCCGAGTTTAGCATCTAAAGGTAAGAAGGACTGGTGCAAGCATGAAAGACACGAGGTGTACCTGTAGTAGTAGTAGTCGGATTAAGAGAAGTTAGGACAGACATAAGTATATATAATCTGAAAATGATATCATCCACATCACTCTGCTAAGGATGAGAAGTAATAGTAGTAGCAGAAGCGACAATAGTAGATAGTGGTCCCATAGTAATAGCAATAGTACGACCTTGAGGAGGCGGCTTAAGCTCTGGATAGAGCTTCCAGTAAATAGTCTTGAGATGTCTTAGTTGGCCACAATAATCACACTGAGAGAATCACTCTATCTGCGTTGGTCTGGGTCGTCCAATCGGCAGTGGTTTGGACACGGTCCACCCCTGACTAGGCATCGTGAGCGAGACCTTGCAGCTGTTTCAAGGGCCATCTACTCGGTGTAAGGAATCAAGGTCGCAACTGAAAGTGATGCAATACAGACGTGGCACTCATATTGCTCAATCATCCCATACAACTAATAAAGTGACAGTAGCCTCAACATCGATAAGATCTGGGAACAATGTTCCTCAAACTCATCACGAAGCCTCATAAAGAACTTGTGAATTCTATCCTCCTACTCTCAAGTATGCAGGAATGTTGTTTTTTCGGAATAGCAACAAGAGGACGTAGAGTCTCATACTTAAGCCAGCGCTAAGTCAAATAGTCATAGTAATCCTGAACCATTATATCTCTCTGTCGAGCATACGAGAGTTCCTGAAAAAGGTCATTAACGTGAACTCCACGACCTGACTGTGAATACATATCTGATAATGCACTCCACAGCTTCAGAACAAAGCTATGAAATTGATGAATTCTACAAACAAAAATGGAGCCAAATAACCATCTAAGAATAACGTTTCTTAGAGAACCACACAGAATACCTAGGGTCGTCGTCAACTGGCATTGGGTGCATTCCTGTCAACCAACCAAGCTTCCCAACATATCCTAAGAAAAGTTGGAATGAGCGTGACCACTCAGCAAAGTTACAACCATTCAATAATTGTGTCGTAACCATCTGAGAGATCATACATAGTATTTGTTGATAATGCAATTGTGCTAGTAGGTATTGTATACTGGTTAAACATAAAAGTGGGAGAGGTGGTCCCTATAAGTGTGGGCGGTACAACCCAAGTGGGCGGTACATTCCAAGTGAAAATACTAATGGCTGGGGTCTCAACTGTAATGGTTTTAAGTCCCTCACTAGTGGTCATAGCAACAACAATACTTTGGCAACCGTGACAAAAACTACTCTAAGATAAATAGATGAAAAACAAGGGAGAATAATATACCTTTAGTCGAGCAATAGTGACAAATAAAGATGGTGTAGAAAGCTCTCAAATAACAGGTCACGGTGCCAAGAAATTCAGTAAATATATAGAAGTGATCTACTTCATCAAAAGTAGATCAACGGAGGAGGGGATTTGACCCCTCTTAAAAGTTCGTAGATGCTTTAACCCTACGGAAAAGAATACCTAGCAGTGCGAAGAAGAGGCAGATTGGCAGTACTGCGACTAGGGGTGAAGCACGAAGGCGAGAGGCATTGGGCGCTGGGTGCTGGGCATTGGCGCTGGTGCTGCTACCTGCAGGCGCTGGCTGCCCGTGGTGCTGGTGCTGGTGCTGGGCAGTGGTGGTTTGAGCAGCGGGGGCGTGGGGGGCTGAGGGGTGACGGTTCGGGTTAGGGTTAGGGTTAGGATTAGGGTTAGGGTTAAGGAAGGCGAAGGGGTAGGCTAGGATTTGGATTTGATATCAACTAGAATTATTTGAGAGTAAAGGGATGCATAAACTGAATGCAGAGTTCTGTATATGTAGCCAGATAAGAGGTGCAAGTGACCAGAATACCCCTCTGATCTGGGTAAGACATAAAAGCGATAATAAGGACAAAAAAGGAACAATAGAAAAACTAATAAACCAGACTATAACTCCAATTGTACTAAAAAATATATTATGTATTATGACTAGGGACTGAGGAATTTATTTTTCTATAATTTGTTTATTTGTGTTCAAAATTGAAGGGAAAAAAAAAGAAATAGGAATATAAAAAAGCTGGAAAAAAAGACATGGTTGTGTCCAGAATTTGCAGGAATTGTACAGAATGGTTGTGTACCTCATATGAGCCCACATTTGGTTACATCATAATTTTCTTCTTTTTTCCTAGTATAAGTAACATTTGTATGAGGTCAAAAAAAACATCAACAATAAATGACATATTCTTTGTTGGAAATATGAGCTCTAACTAAATGTTTGAAATCCAGGAGAGTATATGCTCTGGACAAACGAGGAATAATTCCTGAAGTGCTTACCGCTTTCACTTACCTCCAGTTCTTGTATGGATTCTCTCTCTCTCTCTCTCTCTCTCTCTCTCATGTTACATGAGCATGAGTCCCAAGTAAATTATTCAGTGACATGCTTATATTTCACTAAATTTCTAGTTAACTTATTGTGGGTGAGTAGCGCTTGATCCCCCAATTTTTTCCGTTAAAAATTCACTTTTTTAGTGTGTAAATCAAAAGTCACACATTGCATCATGAATTTCTCTAATAGCAGTAGCAATGTGTCCCAAAAGCAACATGCTGTTTGGCAGCAACATGCAATGAATCTCTTGGCACCTTCTGTCACATAAGGAAAACGACCTGTTGCTTTAGGGGCACATTAGTACCATTTAAAAGAATTCAATGTGTAGTATAACAATTTCAGTGGCATTTTGTCCTATTTTTTATTCAGATGTTAAACTTTGGTGTTTTTTTTCCCACTTTCAGGAAGATTGATCAAAATTACTTTACAGGGCCCTTGCCAGTGTTCATTGGAAACTTAACTGCATTACAACTATTGTAAGTTCTGAATGTTTACTGTTTTGTTAGACATCTTTAGATGAGGCAACACGTACAATGCCCGGCTTGATCATAAAATTGAATTAAACTAGTGTAGTTGTTAGTTGATACTAGATCATCTTTTTTAGCTAATAATAAAGGCTGCTTGATTGATTTTTGAAAATTCTTTCCCTGCATCCACCTTCTACTTCTTTGGATGACTTTTATTTTGTTTTTCTTAACAGGTCAATTGCCCACAATGCATTCTCTGGGCCCATACCCCCTGAGCTTGGAAGACTTACAGCACTGACAATGCTGTAAGTATGAATAACTCTTTCTCCTTTGAAGTTTCTTTTACTTCATGGAAACATGCACTTAATTAATCCCATATCAAGTTAATTATGCTCTAGTAGTCAAGAATTGAGATGAAATTAAATTGTCAGCAAATGGGGAATGCATTTTAAAAGGTATACATCAGGAGTAATTCTACTTCCAATGTCAATTCAACGATATCTTTGTATTAGGTCAGCGCAAATTGATTCTAGGAAATTAGGTTCATGCTGCAGTGCTGATGCTGATGTGTTAGAGTAGGACCATGATGTTAGAGCTAAGAAAATGTTTGGATATCAGAATCAATTTTTTCTTTTCTTTTCTCATGTGGGCATTCCCTCTTTTGTCAAAGGATTTAGAATGGATTTGGATGTAATATACAAAGGATTAGATCTTACTCTAGAAATCAAATTTAGCTCTTAATGTCCTATTTAAACTGTTGTTAAGTTTACCTTGTACAACATTCTTTGAAATTATTTTAATGCAGGTCTTTGGGTTCGAATAACTTCTCCGGTACCCTTCCTCCAGAACTTGGAGACTTAGTCAATCTGGAGCAAATGTAGGTTTTAACTTGAGTGTATATTTTTTGTAAACATGTGTATATAGAAGATGGAAAGCCAACAATTACATGCAAAGGTGATGCATAATATATTACTTGTGACTTTTGAATCAACAGATATATAAACAGTTGCGGCGCAGGTGGTGAAATTCCCCCTACATTTGCTAAGCTTCGAAACATGCGCATAATGTATGTTACTGTGATCATGGTTCTTTCTCTTTCTTTTTTGGCATTTGAATTCTCCTAATGCTTAATTGAAAATGGAGAAAAGGAAATAATTTCTTTTGGAGAGGAACTTTATATCATTTAGCTTTTATGTCAGCTTGCTCTAAGCCACCTTGTCCGCTTTCAGGTGGGCAGCAGACAGTCCATTCACAGGAAAAATACCTGATTTCATAGGGAGCTGGACACAGATGACATCTTTGTAAGATAAAAACAATTCTGTCGTTTACATTATTTGTGAAATACAACATTGAATTTCTTCTAATTCTGACCTGCAAACTCAAATTTTGAACCAATCATTCAGGAGATTTCAAGGGAACTCTTTCGAAGGTCCAATACCATCCAGTTTTTCAAATTTGACCTCACTGACTTCTCTGTGAGTTTTCTCTTCATTCAAACCTTCTCTCTCTCTCTCTCTCTAAGAGGAACATGAGTAGTTTGAATGATATTTATGTGAACTTGTGCAGGCGAATAAGTGACATATACAATGTGAGTTCATCGCTTGATTTTATCAAGAATTTGAAGAACTTAACTGACTTGTAAGATAACATGCTCCTTTTATGCACTTGTTCATGTATTCAACCCCCTCTCTCTCGCACTCTCTATTTTTTTTTTTTTTTATTTCATTCCATGTTGTTTAATGAAATACACTTGCGGTCCTTTTGAGTAGGTCTCTGAGAAATGCATTAATATCTGGTGGCATTCCAACTGATATTGGCGAGTACCGACAGCTACGGACATTGTAAGTTGTTATGCGCATTGATTCACAAATAATTATAAGATATCTTTATCATTTTAAAAAATAAAAACAGGTCAAAATAAAATAGTAAATCGAGGTACCCAGTCTATTATAACTCTCAACTTTCCCTCTATTTTTGTGCCTTTAATAGGCCTAGTATTTTTGGCAATTGCAATGGTTTCTTTATCTCTTTATGTTAAAAAAAACAAGATTGTGTAGATCTGATGGGATCCAATCTCATCCATTTTTCTTTTCAAAGTTAGACTTGTACATAACACAAATATCTATTTCATGGAATATGATATAACATGTGACTTTCACCAAAAATAAAAGAAAAGCTCTTATGTCTGCAGAAGAAAATGCTATATGGGTAAATGACTTTTAACTATTTTCAAATAGATCAAGATCGCCGGATAGTTGAAATATAAAGTCAGCGTATCTATATATATGTCGAAATCTATAGTAAGATCATATGAAAGGTTTGTTATTATTTTAGATTTTAGATCTAATCTGAGTTGCTCTGACTTGTTTGTCATGCCCTTTATAATTAAATTTACTTTTGTAGGGATTTGAGTTTCAACAACTTAAGTGGTTCGATTCCACCCACATTATTCAATTTAACTTCTCTTGCTTCCGTGTAAGATTGAAATACTCATCATTGTCCTCTGCTTCGAAATCTCAATTGTATGCTATTCTTTCTTCTTATTTATTTTTCTTATTGTCATTCCAATTGCCAGGTTTCTTGGAAACAATAGCCTATCCGGACCTCTTCCCTCCCAAAAAAGTGGAACACTTCAGACTGTGTAAGTCCCCTTATTATTATTATTGAATGAGAAGTTGTCAGTTGATCTACTAGCATTTGCCATACACTGATATTATTAACTGCAAAAAAGAGTGAATAACAACTTTATACCTAAATTATTTTGAAAATTTTACTTTGACCATTCAAATATTAATAGTCTCACACTGCGGTATGAATTTTTTTAAATGATAGTTTTATTCCTCCTTTTATCCAATTTTTTATTCACAAGTTTATGCCACAAATTAGGCAAAAAGGGCCACATTTCTATCATTTAAAGAATTTTAGTATACAATGTAAGACTTTTAATCTTTGAAAGGGCAAAGTGAAGATTTATAACCTTTAAGTGGACAAAGTTCCATTAGCTCCGTGGATTTTTGTATATTACGAAAATGAAGCCATTTCTTTACTTTTTTTTGTTGTTGAAAATAGGCAATGCATGTTCCAATTTTAGCAATTCTGGCAAAAATATTTGTTATAATGACTTTATTTGATTACTAATGCTATTGAAATATAATTGAGTGACATAATAAATTGTGACCAATGAATTGATAATGGAATGCATTTAATAATGAAACCCATCGCAGTATTAAATGCATTCTATTATCAATCTATTGGTCATAATATATTATGTCCCCAAATTATGTCAATAAATTATGTCCCAATAACATTGCTCTTTTTTTTTTTTTTTTGTAAATGTGGATTTAATGTAACCAAAAATTTGAGGAGTAATGATACTTTACTCCCTAAAAATTTTTAAAGTTTTCACTTTACAATCTTAATGATAAAAAATCTTGCATTGCACCTTAAATTTCTTTAAACCGTTAGCAATTTGCCTTTTTTTAAACTTTTTTTTACAAATTTATGTCACAATTGGAGAACGTTTGAGGGGTTAAAATTTCATTAGCTCAAAGATTCTTGTAAAAAATATCACAAGGATTGAGAGCAAATATATATATATATAAGAGGTAAATGCTACGCAACCTTTACCAAGTTTGGAGTGGTAGCTTCCTGAATTTTAAACCATAATATATTGTACACACACATACATATAGAAACACAAATTGGAATTGAATTTAGATTGAAGGTAGTGGTGATGTGACGCAGTGGAACAAAGAGACGAAAAAAACACTACGATTCTAAGTGTATAGAACAAATGCTCTGAATCAACAGAGAGAGTAACAAGAGAATATCTTGGAAAAATGTGTATTATTAAATCAATTGAATAGAATCGTAGTATATAGGACAATATATAGGAACTCCAAAATTATAAGGTTTTCAAAAAAGAAACAAATCCCTAACTTTAAGAAAGTTACCTAAAATAATAAAACACATGTCTAATGAATTAGAAAAATAGACATGGTTTAGGCCGTAAATAACTGTAGAATATTCTTAATTAACTCTTAATCTAAACAAATACTAAAAATAAAATAGAATAATTGTTGATTTTTGTTCTTTATCATTATGACAACAAGAGGACTTGTGGTGTTGTTTTGGTGCGAGTTCGGGGTGGAGGTCGTAGTGGTTTAGGGGGAGGGAGGAGTTTGAGTTGCCGGAGAGAGGTTTGAGTTTTTTTTTAACATTTTTGTTAAATTTTATTTTTTGGGGTGTAAAAAAATAAACTTTAAAATTTGGTATAAAGAATTGAGGAAGTTTTAGAATTCTTTCACGTTAGTAGTAACAGTCAACTAATTAGATGCAGTTGGATCTAAGGGGGGTAAAGTTCCCCAGAGTGGCACCCTTAGGTGCTGAGTTCGAGTCTCACTCCTCTATAACTGTAGCATTGTTAAAAAAAAAAAATTAATAATAATTAAATGGAGTTGACTGAAAGTTGACTTGAAAATCTGAAGGGGTTTTTTACAATTTCTAAAATCATAGGGTGAAGTGTAATAAATGCAAATCTCAAGGGTAATTTGTGTGATTTTCCCTTCTTTTAAAGATATCTAGCTTCTAAAAAATTGTTTCTTCCCAAGAGTTATTGCTATAGATGGGAAAGAGCAGACAGTCCTGAAGTAATGTGGCATGTAACTACTGAAAATTGAGAAATATCAAAGGAAAGATTATTGCAATGGGCATATAAGGGGGATAGATAATAATAAATCCTTTGGGAGCGATTAGAAGTCATTTTTCCCTCTTGTCATTTCTAGTTACACCCATGACCCATGGTAGATTTCTCGTCGGTGAAATGCAATAAGTAAGTGAAAAAAGGCATTTCGTGGTTGTTGAACATATACTAGTTTTTTTCTGATTTCTATGATGTATTTCTCAATTTCTGATTTATCTGTGCATGATTTGTTCACTAAATTCCTGCTATTATGTTTTTAAATGCAGAGATGTGTCCTACAATGAACTATCTGGAAATTTACCTTCATGGGTAACACCAAATTCGCAAGTGTATGTCTATGAAATCATGATGCATGATTGTTTATAATCTTCATTGTCATCGCTTGGCAGATTGCTCTGAAGGACTAGGCCTGTTGTTAGTTGTATAAACTTTCATTTCTTTTCTAGTTTTCTTACACCTTATTGATGTGCAGGGCTATAATATGATTAGTATTCATCAAATGTTACTGTTGATTAAACAAAATTATTGCTTGTAATTTTCACCTAGGATCAACCTATAAGGAAGAGAAATATGTGTAACAGTACCACACTTGTAAGTGTTGCTATGGCAATGTGATAATAACATAGCAAGGAGCAAGCTTGTAGTTTTGCACGTTCATTTGTTTCTGAGATCCCATTCCAACTATCGTTATACAACCTGAAAAGTGAAAACCAAACTCATGCCAGCACAATGGTTCATGGGTGTACTCTTTCCTGTTTAAGCATACGGAAGTTAAAAATGGCAGATATTGCTTAAGCTGTAGGATTCTGATCAATGCAATAAAATAAATAATAATAGCTAGTTATTTATTCTAAAATAGCTCCTCTTTCCTTAAAAAATAATAATTCTGAGTTTGCTTTCTTAATTTTCATCTTTGAAAATATTACCATTGACGTTTTTGAATTATACTACAGGAATTTAGTGGCCAACAACTTCACATTGGATAGCACAAACAGAAAGTGAGTCATTTTGTTTTCATTTCTTTTTCCATATTGCCAGTCTTGGGAGATAGCATGGGTGCTAGGCAAAGTGACCACATTTCTCTTACTGCAGCTCAATGCATTCATTTTGAAATTTACATTGTAAATAAAGAAATTTAATGCTAATTCTTTGAGCTTCCAGTGTTTTGCCAGGATTATATTGTCTGCAGAGAGACTTTCCTTGCAACAGGGGTAGTCCACGTTGTAAGTCACTTTGCATTGTAGTAGTTTCTGTCTTTATTTGGCTTCTTGCACAATTTCGTTTTGCCACTACATTTTACCAAATTTCTTGGCAAATTCATATATTTGGTTGGGCAATGCTAAACGTAGAGTAATGAGGGCTGCTTTGAAGAAATTGATAGGGTGAATGGGAGGTTTTTGCCCATGCATCCCTTTAGATTTAGTTTTTAAAAGTATTGGAGTTTGTCCCTCTCCTTCTTGTAGTTGCCCTCCACTTCCTCACTACATAAATTCTGGCTTTACCCCTCTTGGCTACATGCATATTCATTCAACCAATACATTTTATGGATTTCAAAATTAACTTCTTGTGGGATACTAAATTGAAAAGTGCCAATACTTTCCCTATAGTTAAAGTTGAAGGGGAAACATAATCAAGAGGTTTAGGCAAATACCTACATAAGTAAAATTAAAAAGAATTTTTATTTGTATGCACCAAATCTAGTACTTGCCATCTCGAGCGTTGTTAAAATGAAATGAAGCCTTGTTTTCAGAGAGAGAGAGAGAAGTGTCTGCTATTTTTCTGTTATTCTTTGAGATTGTTAGATGTTCATCACCTGAGTAGCTTCGAGATCTTCCTTCATGTCCAGCATCTTAATGGAAAGCTTGTGGTTTCCTTATTGAAAAGTATTAGTTGAAAACTCAACTATTAAACTTCATAGTCATATCTTCAATACATATGATGATAAATGACTGCTGGTTTTATATTTATGTTCAAAGATGCCAACTTTGCAATTAAATGTGGTGGTCCGGCGAGGAGATCTGCTGAGGGAATATTGTACGAGGCTGAAAATTCTACTTCCCTTGGCCCGGCATCGTATTTTATGGTTAGTACAGAAAAATGGGCAGTCAGCAATGTGGGGATTTTTTCCGACAGAAGTAATCCAATATATACCGAGAACACCTTGGCACAAATTAGGAGCACCAGCACTCCAGAGCTTTTCCAGACTTCAAGGATGTCTCCGGCTTCACTTAGATACTATGGCTTAGGACTAGAGAATGGAAATTACACTGTAAGTCTGCTATTTGCGGAGACTATATTTAGTGATAGAAGCACACGTACATGGAAGAGTCTTGGGAGGCGTGTTTTTGATATTTACATTCAGGTAATTATGCAACAAAACTCATCATTTAATGTTGTTAGTCTGAAGCCTGCTCTTTCCCCTTGCATTTAGTTCTAGTATTGGAGTTATACGAAATTATGCTGATACTAAGACAATTGTTTGAAATTCCGCGTGACTGGTTCTTCAGGGGACTCTCCAACTGAAGGACTTTGATATATCAAAGGAGGCAGGCGGGGTTGAAATAGCAGTCCAGAAGAATTTCAATGCTACTGTAACCCAGAATTATCTTGAAATTCATCTATTTTGGGCTGGGAAGGGTACATGCTGCATTCCTGTGCAAGGCGATTATGGACCATTGATTTCAGCCCTCAGTGTTGCTTCAAGTAATAAACCTAAGTCAAATGATTATTACACATATTATATAGATAAATATACATGAATTTCTTTTCCCTCTTTCAAATACAAGACGTTTAAATACCCTTCTCTACTGCTATGGACCAGCGATAAGTAATTTATATCTGTTTTGCTCAGATTTTACACCTTCTGTTAGTGGACTACCTCCAACAACTCAATCAAGGAAAAACAGGACTGGGTTGATTGTTGGTGTTGCAGTTCCTGTTGGAGTTATCAGCATAATATTGTTACTTTCTATTTTATACTGGAAAAAGAAAGGGTCACATGTTGAGGATGAGGAAGGTAAATGCGCATATTAACTCCAAAACTTGTACTGTTGCTGTTATTACTGTTCTTTTTTATTATTTAAATGAACACATACAAGGGGATACATGCATATTTTAAACATACTTTACTCAACATCATACTGCAGTTGTAAGAGTCCAAGAAGACCAATAAGCCCAAGTCCACAAGCGTACTCTTGTGTATTGCAAGATGATGGTGATGATAATAACAAAACTTATACGACGACAACAATAACACTATGAAAATAATAATAACAATAATTGAACCTGAGAAAATATATTAATGTCAATGAACTCAGTTCCCCATTCACAACTACTAAATTTGGGTAATGATTGGTGTTTTGAAATGCTGGATACTAGGTTGTGTAAGAAAACTTGTAAATGTATCATGTTTGAAGTCCTAATATCTTGTACTCGAGTATAGTTAAGCACTTATTGTAATTAATAAGATAATAAGCATGACTGATCTCATTTCTTCTGATGGCACTGAGAAGAATTAGATCGAGCATACCTCAGTTTTTTTTAATGCTATTACCTTGATGATAGGTAATTTATGGAACTGAAAACTGGTAGTATGCAAGGTATTATCCCAAGTTAGATTCTGTACCCAAGACTGACCTCCTTTCTTCTGATGGCACTTACAAGAATTAGATTGAGTATACCTCACAGTTGTTTTTAATGCTATTACCTTGATGACCTTATTATGTTTTTGTTGCATGATTGTGCAGACCTTCTTGGAATTGGCCCTCGACCAAACACTTACACTTATGCTGAGTTGAGAACTGCAACAGGAGATTTCAGTCCTTCAAACAAGTTGGGAGAGGGTGGATTCGGACCTGTTTATAAGGTATTCTATGTTTTACATCAAAGTTAGATGATGCATGATTCTTGCTCAACAACTTGACGCGAAGATTGGGTATTTTTTTAGTTCTCCCATTTTAATGGAATAAAAGGAGGATTTTTTTTGTGTCAACTGAATTTTATTATTTTCTAGGGAACATTAAATGATGGGAGGATAGTGGCCGTGAAGCAACTTTCAGTAGGATCACATCAAGGGAAAAGTCAGTTTATAGCTGAAATTGCTACCATTTCTGCTGTGCAACATAGAAACCTTGTTAAGCTGTATGGATGCTGCATTGAAGGAAGTAGAAGGCTTTTGGTTTATGAATATCTCGAGCACAAGAGCCTTGACCAGGCACTTTTTGGTATGGAGACCAATAATTGTAAAAATTCAATTTCTTTGGCTATAATCAACTTTTGTCTTTAAAAATGAAATAAAGCGAACAAGGGCGAGGGTGTCTTCCTGATAATTTTTAAGTGGTTTTTATTTCATGTAATTTAACTCATAATTTTTTGTTTTATTTTGTGATAGACATTTCTATCATTAATCCTATATTTGTAATCATGTAATCATTCAAAAATCCTTGAAGTGTTATGTTTCCTTTTTTGTTATCGTCTATCTGCATTCTTCCTTGTTAAATCTGAATAATTCTTGCAGGGAATGATAATTTGCATCTTGACTGGCCAACACGCTTCAGTATATGCTTAGGAACAGCAAGAGGACTAGCTTATCTCCATGAAGAATCAAGGCCTAGAATTGTACACCGAGATGTCAAAGCTAGCAATATTCTGCTTGATGCTGACCTCTCCCCCAAAATATCAGATTTTGGATTGGCCAAACTGTATGATGACAAGAAAACCCATATCAGTACCCGCATTGCTGGGACTATGTAAGCTCATTGGATCATCCTTTTTTTCATTTAAGCATTACTATTCGTACGTTGGTTGTTTCATATATTTGTGTTACGGTGTTAACCTAAACACAAATACATACGCATATGCATTACAAAAGAGGTTTATTTAGTCGTGTAAGTTTTCACTTACATCAATAGTTGTCATCACCCTATGTTAGTTGGACATGATAGATATTTGATTGCATTGTATTTTCCTTCTAATGACATATATGAAACACAATCGATTTCAAAGTTTCAGTATGGGTGTCAATTGCCACACCATTATATTTGGATTCCCCAAACCTGCATAAAGCTTGCTCGCTAATCCGCCAAACCACCAAACCTGTAGTTGACCTCAACTAAGCCTCTTTCACTTGATTCTACAGTGGCTATCTAGCACCAGAGTATGCTATGCGAGGGCATCTGACGGAAAAGGCAGATGTGTTTGGATTTGGGGTTGTTTGTCTAGAGATCCTCAGTGGGAGATCCAACTCTGATGATAGCTTGGACAGCGAAAGAAAATATCTTCTTGAATGGGTATGGCAGGAGAATTATCATTTACTTACTAGAAAAGATTAAATGGAATTTTCCATGGATACCATGGTTAAAGAGGCAATTTCTTTCCTACACACTTACCTAAATGATTTTTTCAGTCTTGGAATCTACATGAAAACAACCAAAGTCTGGATCTTGTGGATTCAACTCTGGAAGTGTTTGACGAAAATGAAGCCATGCGGTTGATAGGAGTGGCCCTTTTGTGTACTCAAGCATCACCAATGATCAGGCCACCCATGTCCCGTGTCATTGCCATGCTTGCTGGAGACATTGAAGTGAGCACCACTACAACAAAGCCAAGTTATTTGACAGATTGGGATTTCAAAGATATAACTGATAGCTTTTTGGATGGAGGAACTCCATCATCAGCTCCATCCAAGAGTAGTAGCCTCCTACTAGACAATAAAGTCAATAATCCATCCGATACGAACACTAATGCAGTGCCCTCTCCAATTAATTTGACTGAGACAATGCTCCATGAAATCATTGGTGAAGGAAGGTGAGGCATGCTTATCACTACAACAGTTTCGTGTATTTGTCAATGCTTCATCCACCTGTATGCATAAAGATGGTACAACTTGAACCTTCAAGTTTTCTCGTGTACATGTAATAACCAATATTTGTTTTACTGTCTTCTTATTCTTCATGCAATTTTGCTACTGTACACATTTGTGTAAATGTTTGAGTCATCTATACACATTTATGTAATTAGCAATTTCGCTACTCTACTCTATACGTTTGCTTTGTTTGTGGGCTCACGATTTTAAAACATGTTTTAGCTGTTGTAGAAAGGGAAACAAGTTGAATTGCACATCATACAGACTGATAACCAGGCTATAAAAGTACTAGTATCACCCTCTTTTGAAGTGTAACTCTGCTTTGTCTGCTGTTTAGTTAGCTTCCTATACATGTGATCAAAATGTCTCACATTTTATCAACTTTAGTTAAGCTCTTCAATAGTGTTGCTTATAGACCCTACTGCACAAAGCATGAATAATATTGTATTCATTATCACCTTAAATCCCCTTCCATTTTTAATACCTTGGCATCATTTTGAGATGCTAACTGAGTCCCTCTGCCAAAAAATAAAATAGTAATAGTTACATAATATGCAACACCATTATTTGAAATTTCTATTGTTGAAAACTGATGCCTTAGCCTGATGCTAATGTGGGAATACTACAACATGAATATCAAAGTTCAAATCTCATTAGCATTGTTAGTAATCAATCACAGGTAGATTATTTGTCTATGTAATAAAATAAAGCTTTCCTGAAAACATAAAACACAACAACCTATATTATTTGGAGGTGTGATCAAACAATTTATCTTATAATACGTATTTTGATCACGGTAAATCTATTTATTTATGTTTTAGTCATAGTAAATATGTTGAAATATATTTTAACTACCCACTTATATTTTAAATTATAATAAAAGAAATATTGTACATGCTTGGCCATGCTTTGTATGGATTGCCCTAAAATATGGATAAAAATTTGAAAGGGTCTTTCAATCGCACCTGTAAAATGAAATAATAATATTATTTAAACTTAATTTGTTAATATAATTTATTGATTTAATTTATTACAGTCATTGGATGGGAAGCGAGTCCCATCAAATGCTATGTCTCACTGTAAATTTAATGATTACAAATGATTAAGTCATAAAATTAAGTTTAAATAGCATTGCTAAAAAAAATCTCCCTCGCTCGCGAAGGTCAAACTCATCAACTCAAGCAGGGGTGGATTTGCTAAAAAATTTTGGGACCTAGGTAAAATTTTGAAAATTTCAAAAAATTTTGAATCTTGCCCCCAATGAAATTTTTATAAAGTATAGAGTGAATTAGTGTAATTTTTAAACCATTAAAACAAAACTTTAGCGGCCTAACCCACACTTTCCACTTCTTTTACTCGTCTTCTTTATTCAAACTTCGGTTACTGTCATTTCTTCACTAACCTTCTCTTCTTTTGGTTTATTGGTTACTTCCTTTAGCATATTCATCAACAAATCGACATACTTTATTGTTGGCTCCTGTTAAGTTCTCATTAAATTGCAACGCCGGTCACAAGATACTCTTTAGAGTGTTGACATTAATATTCAAAAATTAAGTTTGAAATTTTTAAAATTATTTAGAATTTGCCCCAATTGAAAAGTTAACCAAATAAAAAATTAGAGGCAAATTTATACAAATAAAGATATACTAAAATTGAATTTGATTTTGATCCAATATGGTTTATATATACATGGCATACACATATATACAAATATATTAATTAAAGTTGAGTGATTATTTAACGAAATTGTATTGAAATTAAAATATAATTTATGAAATTCAGCTCCCATTTAATTATTTAGATTATATTGACTTTTATGTTATCCAATAATTCGAATATGAAATATCATAAGTAAATTCGTTAGATAGTCAGATCCAATTTCGGATCAATCGAAATCCTTTCCAAATTCGACCGTTGATAAGTCTTCTAGCTGTTTATTGTGAGACACAACAAGTATTGATGCTTGTTGTCCAACTGTTTTTTTCAACATAATGGTTGCCCCCATTATGAAAAATTCCTCACTCCGCCCTGAATTCAAAGACATCTTGACTTTTGTTTTTTCTTCTTTGAACCTAAACTCTTTCTAAGGAGAATTACATTTTGAACCTCTCAACTATGATCAAGATTTTGCTTTGCCCAATTAATTGTTGAGTTTGGCAAATTGTTCTCTAAACTATTTTTTTGGTACATGTTCTCTAAACTATTTGAATTGGTTTCAAAGTATTCTAAAACAAAGCATCTGTTATGCTTTGGACAGATTGGGACAAAACGCAAAAAAAAAAATCATACTCCAAGGGCAACTTAAAACATGTGAGAAAATTATAGATAAGAGGGAATGCGAGACAAAGGCCACAATAGATGTGATAAAAGTATAATTTTTTATTTTGTCGTTCCATTCACGGGGATTTGACCTTGGAGCTTCAAGGACATTCTTATGGTTTTAGCACTCCCTTGAGTGAGATAATTCTTCACACTTTGAGTTCGTACGTTGTGTTTTTCTGACAAGTTTTTTAAAGAATACTTAATAAAGAAATACTAAACAATATATTATACTACTTCATCATGGATGAGGTTTGAATCTTAACCCTTATTTCTTAGTAATCACATCTTTATCTCTGGACAAAAATATCAGTTTTAATATGTTTATATCTACGTAATAACGTACAAAGATTAAAGACATAAAAAATAATTTTTATTTTTTATGGTTAAGATCATTTTAAATTTTACTTTAAAATTAATCTAACGACTAATATTAACTCTCAAAATATAATAAGGAAAATAGACCCCTTAATTATGTGGTTGAGATGACTTTTTAAACAAAAAAAAATGTTTTGAACAACTTATTTTAATGACTTCCAGATAAGTCAAAAATAGTTTTACTACTTTAAAATCACTTATCTATAAAACACTTCATTGCCACCACCATCGTTACCACCCCCCCACCGTCGCCGCTGCCACCACCACTACTGATTGCTACCATCGCCATCCACCTTCACCATCCACTATTATAATTATCTCATTCTTATATTTATTACCATTACCACCGTCATCTTATCACCACTATCGCCCACCGCCACCGCCACCGCCACCACCACCATCATTGTCCATCATCACCCACCGCCACCTAGTACCACAACCCACCATCACCTGTCGTTGCCCACCTTCATCGTCACCCACTATCACCCACCCCCACCATATCTACGAGAACCACCCGTCATCGCCCACCATCGCTACCATCCACTACAATCCACCCCACCACATCTACCAGCACCACCGCCATTCGCCATCACCCATCGCTATCGTCGCTCACAAGCACCCTTCATCGCCCAGCACTCTCACAAACCATCACCATCGTTACCACCCACCACTGCCACCACCACCACCATCCTCGCCCTATCACCACCACTGCCAACCACTATGAGTGTCGCCCATCATCACCCACACCCATCACCACTACCGCCGTCATCCATGACTGTCACTACCACCATCGTTACCTAAAACTCATCACCACCATTGTTGTTGTCACCCACAGCTGCCACCACCACTATGGTTGTCACCGCCCATCAAAGTCATCTTTGTTTCCCACCACTACCACTACCATCGTTCACCCAAATTACAATCGGTGCTTAAATTATTTTTTCTCTCTTTTATATTTGTTATTTAATTTTGGGTGTGAATATAAATATATTTATGATTGACAATTTTTTTTATTATTTTGTGCGTTCAGACAGGGACAATAGCTAATTTTTAGATAAAACAGTAAAAAAGATTTAACATCAAAACTCCTAGGAATATTGTCGATCGGGAAACCTTGTCATTCACCCATTGTTATAAATAACATTAAACTGTTTATTTAACATAACGGCAAGTCACGGTTACATAGAATTTTTTTTTTCTTCTAAAAAAGGAAACTGAACAAGTAACTGTTATGGTTGACCCGGATGATGACTCGACTTGAAATAATGTTACATGGTTTTTAATAAAAAATTTTCTAAGGCTTAGTCTATGGAGCGAAGGCTTGGTCCAATGCAAGTCATATAAAATCTGTTTCTTTTGGGTGATTAGGGTTGATTGATTCTGTACGGCCGCCGCTCTGTCTGTAATCGTCCTTGAGAATAGTGAAATCCCTGCAGCTTCGTAGGCAAATTACCGAACCATGTAAATATTGTCTTTGTGCGTGTGATTTTTTTTTTTGGCGTGTGTTTCTCTATTGTTGTTTCTCACAGGTTTGAGAATTTCATGTGAATTCCTTAACAACTGGTATCAGAGCCTGATTTAGGGTTGAGTGGGAGCAATGGCAGAGGAAGCAGGAAAGGCGTCTGGAATAGAAAAGTTCGATGACACAGACTTTGGATTCTAGATGATACAAATCGAGGATTATCTTTATGGGAAGAAGTTGCATCTATTGCTTCTAGGGGAAAAACCTGTGACTATGAAGGATGAAGATTGGACTCTTCTGAATAGACAAGTGCTGGGAGTTATCAGGTTAACTCTGTCTAGGTCTGTTGCGCACAATGTTGTAAAGGAGAAGACTACAACAGATTTGATGAAGGCTTTGTCTGGTATGTATGAAAAGCCGTCTGCAAACAACAAGGTGCATCTGATGACGAAACTGTTCAATTTGAAGATGAAAAAGAACGCATCAGTAGCACAACATCTGAACGAGTTTAAAACTATCACAAATCAATTATCATCTGTAGAAATTGTTTTTGATGATGAGATTCGTGCACTGATCGTTTTAGCTTCCCTGCCAAACAGTTGGGAGGCAATGAGGATGACAGTAAGCAATTCTATAGGAAAGAAAAACTGAAGTACAATGACATACGAGATTTAATTCTGGCCGAGGAGATTCATAGAAAAGATGCAGGTGAAACCTTAAGATCTGGTTCTACACTAAACCTTTAGACAAGAGGTAGAGGTAATGACAAAAATTCAAATCGGGGCAGATCAAAATCTAGAAATTCTAATCAGAACAGAAGTAAATCTAAATCAGACTAACAAGCAAAATGCTGAAATTGTGGAAAAATGGGTCACTTTAAGAGGCAATACAAAAGTCTTAAGAAGAAGAATGAAGATGATTCTGCTAATGCTGTAACGGAAGAGGTACAGGGTGCATGACTTCTTGCAGTAGACAGTCCACTTGATGATTGGGTTTTGGACTCAGGAGCTTCGTTTCATACTACACACCAAGAAATCATACAGAACTATGTTGTAGGTGATTTTGGTAAGGTGTAT